AGGCTTGTATGGGGTGCTCTGCAAAGCCCAGAGCCAGCAAATGTCTGGACAGACTTTGGCAGAGCCCTGGGAACTCCTCGTCCAGTCTCAAGGAGCTCTGGCTGCCCTGAGCCCTGTGCAGGGCCTGGGGCCAGGGTTCAGCCTGGCACCCACCTCTGGCAGTGCCTGGCATCAGGGGGCCCATCCTCTGCCCCAAGCCCCCGCCAGCAGCTCCAGGAGGTTGGAGTCCCAGACAAGCCATCGAGCCCACTGGGTGCAGCCCTGGTCCTACTCCTAATCCTATTCCTACTCCTAATCCTATTCCTACTCCTAATCCTATTCCTGTTCCTAGTCCTATTCCTATTCCTACTCCTATTCCTATTCCTGTACCTATTCCTGCTCCTATTCCTATTCCTACTCCTATTCCTATTTCTGTACCTATTCCTACTCCTACTCCTATTCCTATTCCTGTTCCTAGTCCTATTCCTACTCCTAATCCTATTCCTGTTCCTATTCCTATTCCTACTCCTACTCCTATTCCTGATAATCTGGGTCTCATTTAGGTCACACCCTGGGGTTGGGGAGCAGAGGGATCTCATGCTGAGGGTGAGTTCAGAACTCTCCCCCAGTCCTGGCAGCTGTAAATGAGCTGGGGAAGCACTGAGCTGCTTCCACAGGGATTTCTGGATGCTCCATCCCCCCCCAGGCCCAGCCCAAACCCCCTCCCCGGGGCTGGCAGTGTCTGTGAGGGGGCTGGCACAGCCAGGCCAGGGTTGGCACTGGCTCCCCTGGCTGGGAGCCGGGTGTGGGCTGGGGACAGCAGCCAGGGAGCGAGGGTGGCACAGGGACAGGGCTGGCTGCCGGCAGTGCCCAGGGTGTTTCCAGCAGCACTTGGCTGCTGTTGGTGTTTGTAGGAGCCTTTTCCTGTCTCGTGCCAAATTTGGGACATGCTGGCACTGGCATGAGTCGTTGGCACTGGCACCTGTGTGTCAGGGCTGGGATCATCCCCCCCGTTGGGCTTTTGAGCACTTGCTGCCCCATTTTCTCCTTCCCTACTTAGGGATCTCCATCCTCCCCGGGGTCCCCAGGCATGGAAAGATGCAGCAGCATCCCATAAACTGAGCCTGGGTGCCTCTGCCTGCCCCCACCCCAGGAAGGGGGTACCCCAGGCCTGGAGTAACACTGGTGGGATTTGGGAAGGAGAAGGTCTCAGCAGGAACATTTGCATCCTGCTGGAAGCATAAAACAAGGCATTGCTTTGCCTGAGGTGTTTGTGCTCAGGAGATGTCCGAGCAGGGGAACCTGGAAATGTCACCCTGGGCTGATTTTGTGGCCTTTGTTCAGAAAAAGGGAGAAATGGCAGTGGGGGAGCAGCTGCTCTTGGAGGAGTTGATGGTGCTGAGCACGTGCTAGCAGAGCAGGAGCAGTCTGAAGGAGGTGGAAGGGACTGTGCTGCCTCCTCTGGTCTGGGAACAGGTGGGGAGAGGAGCAAAATCCCACCTGCAGGAATCATGGAATCCCAGAATAATCAGAATAAAGTTGGAAGGGACCTTAAAGCCCATCCAGCTCCACCCCCTGCCATGGGCAGGGACACCTTCCCCTATCCCAGGGTGCTCCGAGCCCTGTCCAGCCTGGCCTTGGACACTTCCAGGGGTGGGGTGGGATGGGAATCAGTTCCCACAGAATGGCACTTACCAACCCAAACCATTCCATGATTCTGTGATCATCCAAGAACCAGTTCCTCCATGCTGCTGGGACAGAATGGGCTCGGAGGCCACACATCCTGCTGGGGAAGGAGGCAGGGAGGGAGGGATGGGCTCTTCCAGGGGCTCACAAGCTGCCGAAGTGTCTCTGCTCTGGTTCCTGCCATCACAGCCCCTCAGCCCCAGGCTCTGCTGGCTCTGTGCCCCAGCCCTGCGTGCAGCAGGCGTGTGTTATTTTTAAAAACAAATTAAATGAGGAGAAGAGCCTCTATCTAGGCCTTGCACTGGAGGCTTAATTGGCCTGGCCCCCCCGGGAGCAGGTGAGCCCGGGACTATCGCAGTAACGAGCTATTAATAAACAACCCGGCTTGGACCGGGGGCCCAGGGGTCACTGCAGGGGACTGGGGGTCTCTGCAGCTGGGGCAGCTCCTGCAGGGTGTCCTGGGCTGGCAGAGACCTGCAGAGACAGAGCCAACCTTGACTCCTGAGCTCGTATGGCCCTGGATTTGCCAGGAGGGGCTCACCCAGTACCTGTTAATCCCCTCTGTGGCGTTTGCTGTGGGTGTTGGGGCTGTGCCCAGCTCCACCAGAGCACCCACGGGTGCCAGGGCAGCCAGCAACAGCAACAACAAATGTTCCTGTTCCTCCTCCTGGGCTGGAGTCGTCCTCCTCCCAGGTAAAACTGCGAGAGCCATCGCCCACCTCCACAGCTGTCGGCACAGTGTTAGAGTTCCCACTGTTTTATGGATAACCAGGCAGTGACTGTCCATCCAACCCAGCAGGAACAGGTAAAACCACCCAAACAGAGGGCAGATAACTCCAGCAGCCAGGATTCCTGCCCCTGCAGTGGGGGTGCCTGGACCAAACATGGGACAGGGGTTGCCAGGGTGGCTGCGGAGCAGGAAGGTGAGCCCGGGGCTGCGGCTCCCGCTGCCCATCTGCCAGGGAAAACAACTCCAGCAGCTCCATACCTTTGCTTAGAGGCTCGGGTGGCCGCAGTAGTAACCAAAAGTGGAGTCGGGTTACCCGGGGCTCATTCATAATGAACACGGGGCAGAGCTGGGCTGTGCTCGGCTGCCTCTGGCAGGGAGGGGAAGGGCAGAAACCCCCAGCCCCTGGCAGGGAGTGATGGGGGGCACAGTGGGGGAGACCTTCAGCCTGGCAGAGGCACCTGGGCACGTTTATTTATTTCAATAGAACAAAGAAGTGTCCCAATAAACTGGGGAGGTTTTTCCCTGTGGGTTTGCCGGTCGTGCTTGGTCACATCCTGCCCGAGCAGGAGCAGAGCCTTGAGAACCAGGAGGACCCAGAGCCAGCTCAGGTTCCTGGGGCCACCAACCAGCACAGAGTGGCTCCTGGCACTGGAAGGCAGAGGTTGCCAAGCAGCTCCAGCCACATCCCCGGGGGCATTTGGGGACCCCCAGTTGGATGGGGGGGTTGAGTGCAAGGAGTGAATCTGAGCAGTGCTGGGGAGAGGGGAAGGAGGGGCAGGGGCAGCAGGGGGGTTTCCAGTCCCACCCCACTGTCCCCAGCAAGGGAAGCCAGTGCTGTTAAATCCCCTCCCTGTGGTTGTGTGAAACGGTGACACTTCTCTGTTGGTTTGAGTTCGTTGGGAGAAAAAGGGAAGTGTGGCAAAATTAAGACGTGCACCAAAAAAAAAGAGTCATAAAATGATAGAATAGAATCGCTGAGGGTGGGAGATCCCTCTGAGATCATCGAGTCCAACTGTTACCCCAGCACTGCCAAGGCCACCACTTGTCCCTCAGCCCCCCATGTCCATAAAAGATAATCTCCCGGGTTCCAAAATTGCACCAGGGAATGGGTTTATTGCCAGAAATTGCTCTGCTTGGGTAATGGGATCAGGGCAGGAAATCAGCCATGGAGATTGCATACTTCCTCTGCGAGCACAGAGAGGATCAGTAATCCTCCTCAGCTCCCCAAGGCTGTTCCCAAGTGCCTTGGGCAATGCTTTTGGGCAATGCAGAGGCACCAAGATGGATTTGAACATGCAGCCACACCACGATGGCCTTGAGCAGCCACAGATGTCACATCCTCCCCGCGTCCTGCTGAGCGATGGACACATTTGGGGGCCCTGATGTGCCCAGAGGGACAGAAGGGAGCATGTGAGGGAGGCTTGGGCTTGGTCTAGTGCTCCCCAGAGCCACAGCTTGGGCCTCCCTGAAGGGCTGGACCCAGTCTGGCTGCCCCGGAGGGCTGCACACCAGTTTGTCCCAGTGCTGTGGGAGTGATGGGACAAAGCCCCCCATACTGGGGGGAGTCAATGCCCCACTCACTGCACCTCTGTGGGGGTGGCTGGAGGTACCCCAGCATTCCCTTGCCAGACCCAAAAACACCCCACGGTGCCCCGACCGAGCAGCTCTGCCACTTAATTAGGTTAATGACCGTGTTTTGTTAAGGAGAGGCGGCTGAGGTGTTTGCTGCGGCGCTGGGAGATGCCTTTCCAGGCAGCCCGGCAGATTTGGGGCACGGGGTGGGAAAGGGGAAGCAAAGAAAAGGGAAAGCGGCGGCCAAGTGCTAATCCCTGGAAAGGGGGGCAGCGGGGGCACCGCGGCGTTAATCCCTCGGCGCAAAGATTGTGCCCGCGGCCGCCTTATTCCCCCCCGAGGGGGAAAGGGGTGTGGGGACAAGGGCCAGTCCCTACGTGCGACACCAAACGTCCCCGGTCCTGCGGGACCGCGCAGAGCCCGGGGCTGGGATTTGGGGCTTCCGAAAAGGCCCGTCCGAAGGTGGCCGGTGCTGGGCTTAGGAGGGAGAGAGGGGGCTTGGATTTGGGCCGCTGGATGAGAGGAGGGGATGGGGCATCCCACCCGTGTCACGAGTTTGCAAGGCCTCTGCCGGCATCTCTTTGATCCTGCACTGCCCGGGGGGTCTGTGCTGTCCCGGGGTGCTCTTTGCTCCTACACTGCCCCGAGGGTCTGTCCCCCCATCATATCGGGGTGCTCACAGTCCCCTGTGCCCGTGTGTGCTCCATCAGGGGAACAGAGCGGGGCGAGCCGGGGGCAGAGGCCAAGCTGTGGGTCTGCAGCTGTGGCTCCTCTGGCAAACCTCTCCCCTGCCTCCATTTCCCTGTTCTCCTGACAGGGTGTGCACAGTGAGGCTCATTTACCCCAGGTTTGCACAGGGCACGATCACCGAGTCACACGCTGGGTGCTGAGAAAAGGATCTGGAGGGTTTCCTGGGGGAATTGGGACCTTATCAGCCCATGGGCCATGGTCTGAGGACCACATGGGGGACCTGGGACCGTAGGACTCTTAGCCTGCACTGACTCCACATGTCTCCCCTGGCAGGCTCCCAGGCGGATGGTAGTGAGCCCCTAGAGATGCTCCACACAATGACATGTTGGCTCCCAGTCCTGGCCCTGCACGTGGTCCTGCTGAGCCCCCCGTGGGTGGGATCCTGCCCCGCCCGCTGTGAGTGCGCCCCACACCTCAAATCCGTGGTGTGCCACCGCAAGCGCCTCACCTCCATCCCCGAGGGCATCCCCACCGAGACCAGGATCCTGGAGCTCAACAAGAACCGCATCCGCTGCCTCAACCCCGGGGACCTGTCCCCGTACCCACTGCTGGAGGAGCTGGATTTCAGCGAGAACATCATCTCCAATGTGGAGCCCGGAGCCTTCAGCAACCTGTTCAACCTGCAGACCCTGCGGCTGCGGGGGAACCAGCTCAAGCTCATCCCCCCCGGGGTCTTCACCAAGCTGACCAACCTCACCCTCCTGGACATCAGCGAGAACAAGCTTGTCATCCTGTTGGACTACATGTTCCAGGACCTGCGGAACCTGAAGAGCCTGGAGGTGGGTGACAATGACCTGGTGTACATCTCCCAGCGTGCCTTCTCGGGGCTGCTGGGCCTGGAGCAGCTGACCATCGAGAAGTGCAACCTGACCTCCATCTCGGCCGAGTCGCTCTCCTACCTCCAGAACCTGGAGGTGCTGCGGCTCCGCCACCTCAGCATCTCTGCGCTGGAGGACCAGAACTTCAAGAAGCTCTACAACCTCCTGCAGCTGGAGATCGACAACTGGCCGCTGCTGGAAGAGGTCTCCCCCACCAGCTTCCAGGGACTGAACCTTACCTCGCTCTCCATCACCTACACCAACATCACGGCCGTGCCCGCCGCCGCCTTGAGGAACCTGGTGTACCTGCGGTACCTCAACCTGTCCTACAACCCCATTAGCACTGTGCTGAAGGGCTCCTTTAAGGACCTCATCCGGCTCCAGGAGCTCCACATCGTGGGTGCCCTCCTGGTGTCCGTGGAGCCGCAGGCTTTCTCCGGCCTGAGACAGATCCGGCTGCTCAACCTCTCCAGCAACTTCCTGTCCACGCTGGAGGAGAGCACCTTCCACTCGGTCAACACGCTGGAGACGCTGCGGGTGGACAGGAACCCCCTGGCCTGCGACTGCCGCCTCCTCTGGGTCCTGCAGCGGCGCAAGACGCTCAACTTCGACGGGCAGCAGCCCATGTGCTCCTCCCCGCCCGAGATCCAGGGCAACGCCCTGCGGGACTTCCCGGACTCAGTGCTCTTCGAGTACTTCACCTGCCAGAAGCCCAAGATCCGGGATCGGAAGCTGCAGCACGTGACGGCGCGGGAGGGCCAGTCCGTGTCCTTCCTGTGCCGGGCGGACGGGGAGCCCGACCCCTCCATCGCCTGGGTGTCCCCCCAGCACCGCATGATCACCACGCGCAGCACGGGCAGGGCCACGGTGCTGCCCGGGGGCACCCTGGAGATCCGCTTCGCCCAGGTGCAGGACAGCGGCACCTACATCTGCATCGCCAGCAACGCCGGCGGCAACGACACCTACTTCGCCACGCTGACGGTGAAGGGGCGCCCGGCCGACGGCGCCCACCGCGCCAACCGCACCCTGTACCTCAGCGACTTCAACGACACCTTCCACAACGACACCCAGGTCTTCTTGAAGTTTACCTTGGACCTCAAGACCATCCTGGTCTCCACGGCCATGGGCTGCATCACCTTCCTGGGCGTGGTGCTCTTCTGCTTCCTCCTGCTCTTCGTGTGGAGCCGCGGCCGGGGGCAGCACAAGAACAACTTCTCCGTGGAGTATTCCTTCCGCAAGGTGGACGGGCCCACCACCACCACGGGCCAGGGAGGGGCCAGGAAGTTCAACATGAAGATGATCTGAGGCTCTCCTGGAGGAGAAGCGTTGTCTGCTGCCCGGCCCCGGGCGCGGCCACGGCGGGACAGGGCCGGGAGGGGTGTGGGAGCACCGGTGACATCCCGGGGCTGGCGGTGGGACGGGGCTGGAGACACACCAGAGGTGCCACAGGCCAGCAGGGGCGGAACTGGGTGGACCTCAGGGTCGGGGAGGGATGACCCCAGTGTCCCAGCCCTGCGGGGCCCTCGGTGAGCCCTCGGCTCAGGGGCCATCCCAGCTCCAGGGGCTCCCAATGTAGCCGGAATTTTTGCTACCAACTATGCATTTCTCGAGCCAAAAGATCAGCAGCGTTTGGGCCCAGGAAAAAAAACACTTCCTGGTTTTTTTCCCCCTCTCCCTTTTTTTTTAAGAGACTCTTCAGAAAACTTTCCTGGTGGTTGTTTATGGTTCTTTTCTTGGTGTTGGTGGGTTTTTTGGTCCAATGATTATTTTTTTTTTAATGAATTTCCAAGAGAAAAGTCTTCCGGGGCGATGTGGGACTGGGGGCTCCGGGGGCGGTTGTGCCAAGCCAGGGTGTCTCTTCCAGCCCCTTGGCAAGGACAGACCCACCAGGGCACAGCTGTGCCTTGAGAGTTTCCCATCTGTCAGTTTAAGATGCAGCGTCTGCCAACGCAGGAGTCTGGGGATGCTCCTGCACAAGCAATAATAACCCACCCAGGGCCAGGCTCTCAGGAGGTGTCAGCAGGAAAAAAGGGACAAAAAAGGCAAAATGAGGCCAAGATCATTAAAATCAGGAGGAGCAGCCCCAGGGTGATGTGTTTGAATCCACCCAAGCCACTGTAGGAGTGGTGGGGTGAAAGGGTTGAGATTCCTGCAAAAGACACTTTTGGATCTGTTTTCTTTGGGTTGCAAAGTTGAAATCCATGGGAGAGCAGGACCTGGCTTGTCCTGTGCAGGGAAAGGCTGGGAACAAGCAGTTCAGGGAGAACGTCCTGGCTGGCACCTCCATCGTGTCCATGTGGATCCTGCACCCTCCGGTGCTGGAAGCAGCAGGGCGATGTCCCCGGGCCTGCCCGGGGGTGGGTCCTGCCTTCCCATCCCACCCTACCCAGGCTTTGCCCTGGCTTTGCCTCTGGGCACAAGTTTTCATGTGGGAGAAGGAGTGGAGCTGGCCCAGCTGGAAGGGAAGAGCCTGGATGTGGCCTGGACGATCCAGGGAGCCCATGGCTTCCTCCTCCTCTTCTTCCTCTTCCTCTTTCTCCTCCTCCTCTTCCTCCTCCTCCTCCTCCTCCTCTTCTGTCTCCTCCTCCTCCTCTGTCTCCTCCCATGTGCACCCCAGGGGTTTGTTGCTGCAGGTCCCACCTCTGTCCCCATTCCTGCAGGCACGTCCCCCACCTGGATGTCCCTTCTCCAGCCGGGAATGGTCAGGCTGGGAGCTGGAGGAGGCACCTGCCCATCTCCTCATGGGCACCCTGGGGGATGCACCAGGGACAGGAGCACCCGAGGGGCTTTGCTTTGTGGGGCACAAGTGGCTGCTCAGAACGTCCCCCACACCCTGGGTGCCCCCCAGCCCCAAGGGGGGAGAGGGGCAGCCCCCAGCCCTCCTCCCTGAGGGGCTCCCCGGGCTGCTCCCACCTCTGTGGCACTGCCAGGATCCAGCCCCAGCAGGGTGGGGT